AAGACACTCTAGTCTATGACCCATGAATGGATCAGAACCTGGAATTGAAGAAATAAGGCCCTTGGAATTTTGTCTAGAGGAAGGAGACAAGAGTACCTACTCCCCTAGAAACCATTGGCAGAAGCAGCTGCCTACAGGGAGGACCTAGAAACAATGTCACTGGGGACAGTCCCTACAGGCATAAGGATGCAGATAAGAGTAAAAAGTAGACCAATTGGGCAGCCTACCTTCCGGGGTACAGAGTAGAGAGAGGTGTCACTTTCTCTGACGGTCAGACAGCAGACCTCCCACCCAGCTCTTGGCACGTTATTCCAAGCCAGGCAGCCTGAGCCCACGCTGGGGTAATTATTCAAGAGCTGCTAAGGCAGGGCTTGGCAGGATGAACTGAACTTATTTTAAAAGGTATCCACCATGGCTGGGTGCGGTGGCTCAAGCCTGTAATCCTAGCACTTTGGGAAGCCAAGGTGAGAGAACTGCCTGAGCCCACAGGTTCGAGAACAGCCTGGGCAACTTGGTGGGAGCTCATCTCTACAATAAATCAAAAAATTAGCTGGGTGTGGTAGCACGTGCCTGTAGTTCCAGCTACTTGGAAGGCTGAGGTGGAAGGATCCCCTGAGCCCAGCAGGTCAGTGCACACTCCAGGCTGAACAACGAGTGAGACTCCAGCTCAAAAAAAACAGTATCCACCATGCCTGAGAAGAGAAGGGTGTGTGGAAAGTTCCTTCAAGTCACTGCCAACTTACAATGGCTTATGGGGCCCTCCTGCAGTGAATACCCCATGGGGTGGTCAAAATTGAACATACAAGCACCTAATGACTGCTGCAGACATGGACATGAGTGATGTAAGTCACCAAAGAAGCAGCTCCTTTCCCACTGTGCACCCACCTTCCAAGCCTCCTAGGGACCCTCATGCACGTTGAATTGGTAAAACAAGCAAGTAGAGGGATGACCTACCCTGTGAAGCCCTTAACATGGTGACAGGGAACAAGGAGACTTGCCAGGAGAAAAGATGGCGTCTTCCCTCCAAGCCTCCATGGAGTTATTATGGGGTATCTCAACCAGCCCATTCCATTTAGAAAATGCCTGACATAAATGGATATGCTCCAGCATCTTATCCTATGTTTGATTTTACAAATTCGCTTATGGATTTTCATAATCCACATTTGTTTTCTATGCAGACTAGTCCGAATTCTACGGAGAAACAGAACTCTAGGTATGTGTGTGTACATGTGTATATGTCTATATACATGCATATATACTAGTTATTTTTATGGGAATTGGCGCACATAATTATGGTGCAGCAGTCCTACGGTTTTCTGTCTGTAAGCTGGATAAGCAGGAAGGCCAGAGGTGGTATCTCTCAAAACAGAGGGAGAGATAGAAGCCCATAATGAAGTTAATCCCTGAACAAGTCTGAAGACCAGAGAACAAGGAGCACAACAGTCCCAGGGCAGGAGAGAACAGATGTCCCAGACCAGTGGAAAGAGCAAATTCACTTTTTCTTTGTCTTTTGTTTTCTCTGGGCCCTGACAGTTTGGGTGACACGCACCCGCTTTGATGAAACTGGATCTTCTTTACTCAGTCTGCTAATACAAATGTAATCTCTTCTAGAAACACCCTCACAGACACAACCAAAGGTAATGTGTTGCCAGCTATTTGGGCATTCGTTAGCCCAGTCAAGTTGACCCATAAAAATAAACATATCACATTAAGTGATATGATACCTAGAACACAGTTAATTAATTACATTGTGCTTAGAGAAAGAAATGTAAAGATGGCCACAATACCATCTTTTAACCTTTCTCCAGGTATTGACTAAGCTACAAAACCAGAAAGTTTTATACAGGGACATTCAAAGACACTGATTCATCAGGCAAAAACATGCACAAACAATTTTTTAGAAATGTAAAGGCAGGAAAGGTCAAGGTATTGTTATAGGCCTATAAAAGTATCATCATGGCTGGGCTCAGTGGCTTAGTCTATAATCCTAGCACTTTGGGAGGCCGAGGCCGGTGGATTGCCTGAGCCTACGGGTTTGAGACCAGCCCAAGCAATTTGGTGAGACCTTGTCTCTACAATAAATTTTTTTAAAAATCAGCTGGACATGGTAGTGCATGCCTGTAATACTGGCTACTTGGAAGGCTGAGGTGGAAGGATCTCCAGAGTCCAGCAGGTTGATGCTGCAGTGGCCATGAGTGTGCCACAGCACTCCAGCCTGGGCAACAGAGGGAGACTCTAACTCTGTTAGAGTTAAAAAAAAAAAAAGTATCATAAGATGAAATTGTGTCCCAACAAGTGCCTAAGGTAGTGCATGTGTTTTGCTGGAAGCACCATCAATTAAATGATTTTCTCTGGAGAACAATCAAATAATCTGTTATGACAGCATAAAACCACTGTTACCCTTCACCTTGTATCGTCTGCCTTGGGAATCTACACAAACAAAATAACCAGGGGAAGAAATTAGTTTAAAGATACTTATTTGATACTGCCATCAAAAAGATAAGTAGATAAGAAAAATCCACAAGCCCAGTAGCCTAAGAATGACTAAGTAAAATATAATTTTTCTGCAGGAAGTAATGCTAGATAGCCATTAAATATTGGAAGTGTGCATGCATGTGAACTGCCAATAGGTACAAATATTAGGTGAAATGTTACAGTGAAAAAGCTGCAGAACCTAGAAGTGTGTGAACACAATCTCACCTCCCAGTAGACATGAACAAAAATCAAAAGAAAATCTGAAGTGACACAACAAAAGTTAGAGTATAATTTGCTTAATGATTATTTATTGAGCATCTATTATGTTCGTGACTATTCTAGGTATTAAGCAGAAGCTTGGAATATCAGTGAATAAGAAGACATGAAAATACATGCCCTCGCAGCAGTCCTATCCTCTGGGGGAATGCAGACAAACACAGATAACTTAAGATACATCATATGTGCATAGTTTTCATTGAATTGTAACTTACATACAGTAGAGTGCACAGATGTTAATTGTCAACCCTGATGACTTTTTCCATGTGTATCCTCTTTTCTTCTTTTCTCTCTCTTTTTTTTTCTTACAGGTGTATACTCTTATGGAACCACCACCCAGATCAAGACACAGAACATTTCCAACATTCCACTAGGTCTCAGGTCTCACCACAGAGCTGCTCTCCACACCTGACTAACGTCACTATTCTTTTGACCTGAATATTTTTGTCTGAATATTTGACCCACAAAATCAACTATGTCTGGAGTCATTAGCCTTATTCTCCATTTTTATTTAAACGGCATCATATAATATGTACTTTTTTCTGTCTAGATCCTTTTACTCTACATCTGTGAGGTTTATCTATGTGATTGTATGTGGCATTAGAACATTTATTTTTCATTGTAGTATATCTTCCGTTTTATAAATAATGGAATTATATTGACAAACCGGCCTGTATTTGCCTGTTCTTCTATTCAGGTTGGATTGCTGTCATCTATTGCCTATTTAAAATAAAGCTGTTTTCAACATCATTATACATGATTTTTGTAATATTTCAACACTCATTCCTCTTGGGTGAGATTTTCTGGGGTGTACTTCAATGTATGTTTTGCTTATCAACAAGGGTGCCTGAACGACGCATATTTGTATACCTAACCCTTAACTGTACCCCACAATTTAAAAATAATAAAAAATATTGATTAAAAAATATATATATGTTTTGCTCTAGTTGGTACTGCCAATATTCCAGAGTGTTCTCACACCAGCAATGTGTGAGAGTTCCAGGTACTCAATAAGTTCAACAGCAATAGTCAGTCCTTTTAATGTTAGGAATTCTAGTGGTTATATAGTAGTTTCTTCTGGTGTGTAAAAGTTCTCTGCTATCCAAGGATGTTGAGCACCTTTCCATATGCTATTTAGCCATTCGCCTATTCAATTTTGGTAAATGCCTATTCAAGTTTGAACCCACTTCAGTTGATTGGGTTGCTTGTTCAGATAAGAGGCCTTTGTTGATTTTCAATCATTTCTCTCAGCTGAGCCTTGTCTGAATACTTGACCCACAAAATCAACTATGTCTGGTAACAATTTGGGGCCTGCTGAGCTATGAAACCTTCCTCTGAAGCAGCTCACTCCAGAATGCAATTTAAAATCATCGAAGAGGATGCAATGCAGATAAAGAAGTGGCGACTGTTGGATCAGGATGAAGGAAGCCTACACTTAGAACGTTGCTGGAAGGATGTAAATCAAGAAGAGACCTGCCTGTAGGTCCCTACACAGGCTTTGGACTTAGAGACTTCAAAATAACAAAGAATTAAAAAGTTTATTAAGTCAAAAAGCAAAGAAATGCAGGCACATTGGCATCTGCTTCCTCATCAGAAATACTCAATTCTAGAAAGGAGTGAATAAATCCACCAGGGAGCTGAAGGTATTTATCCTAGAATTCTACACACAGCCAATGTAGTAAGTAAGTGTACACCAGGATATAGACATTGTCTATTATGAAAGGACTATAGAAATGTATCTTACAGGCACCCAGGAGTTGGAAGAATAAACCAGAGTAAACACAAAAATAGGGTCCCCATGACAGCTGTGCAGCAAGCCCAAAGAGAGCGCCTTGAAGCCATCTGAGAAAAACCAGAGAGATGGATCCTGGAGACCTAACAGATGTGACAGAGCCATACAGTGTGGAAGGCAAAAGCGATCCTGGTTCTCTCCGCTGGGTTTCCACCACCTCTGTGTCCCTACTCCCTGAGACACACAGCTCTGCATAACCATGGAAAGGACCCAATCAAACTGGATCAATGATTGACAGATCCTGACCCAGAAAGGAGCATCCTTCCTAGAGAAAGCTTTGTGGAGCTTCCCGTTCTATAGGTGTCAGGGTTGGGAGTAAGAAGCCTCAAGCCCCTTACTTCAGACACCAGAATTCCTAGGAAACCAGTCACTGCCAGGGTTGCCAGTCAGTCCTTAGAAGTGGCAGTGACAGTTGGATGGTCTGGGAGGCAGGAGGGAATAAGACAAGACACACAGCAAATGTGATTTAGGCTTTACTGGGGATCAGGGGGTTCTAGGGCTGGCACCACGCTGGGAGAGCAGGGTCTGCCCACCGGTCAATACCAGTCTTTCATGCATAGCTGGGACAGTTCGGGCTAATTTCCACAGTCCAGTTGGGCCCCTCAAAGCAGACGCAAACACTCACTGGAAGGAAGGCCAGGTTGGCCTTAGTGCAGGAAAGAGAATATTGATGTTGCTGAAGGGAACCAGGGGTAGGAGCTTGAGGCCTTAAAGGGCCTGGAAGAGACAGGGTTGGAGGAAGAGATGAGGGTACCAAAGCCTTGGGAATGAGAAAGAAATGAAAAGAAGGAGAAAGAACGGAGAAGGTGGTGCCAGGGTAAAGAGAGTCCAGCTGTCCTCCAGGGCCCAGGCAGCAGGCTCGGTAGTGTCCTCACTTCCATCTTCTGGCCTCTCAAGGCCCTACTTGTTGCCCCAAACAGCCATCTTTAAGAACACGGGTTTCGGGAGGAAACGGCTGGACTTCATGTAGGCAGAGATTTTCTTTAAGCCCTGAGAAGGGAGAAAGGAAGCCAAAGTTCAGGGTCTGCTGCTGAGGGACTGAGCGGCCCCACTGCAAGCACCGCAGGTCAGGACCCTGACGACAGCCTTTCCATGTGGGCTTAAGGGTTGGAGCAATCACACAGTTTCTTGGGGTCTGCTGGGAAACTCGCATGATGGTGATATGACATGTGCTTGCTATTCCTGAGCTGAAAACCGGTACAGATCTGTGGCCTGTTAGGAACTAGGATGCACAGCAGGAGTGGCAGGCGAGCAGAGCTCTGCCTTCTGTCAGATCAACGACAGCATTCGATTCTCATAGGAGCGAAACCCAATTGTGAGCTGTGCATGCTAGGGTTCTAGGTTACCCGCTCCTTATGAAAACCTATTGCCCGATGATCTGAGGTGGAGCTGAGGCTGTGATGCTAGCACCAGGGAGCAGATGCAAATACAGATTAACATTAGCTGTGAGGTTTGACTGTAAATCTCCCCGCCCCCTCCGTGTAAAAATTGTCTTCATGGGTAACCCCTTCGGGTCCCCTCTCATTGTGGGAGTTTTTGTGTCCTCTCTATAAACCCTGCTTTCTTTTTTTAAAAATTGTCTTCAGCCGGGCTCGGTGGCTCAGCCTGTAATCCCGTGCCTTTGGGAGGCTGAGGTGAGTGGATTGCCTGAGCCCGCGGGTTCGAGACCCGCCTGGGCAGCGAGACTTCATCTCTACAATAAATTAAAAATCAGCCGGGCGTGGTAGCGCATGCCTGTAATTCCGGCTACTCGGAAGGCTGAGGTGGAAGGATCGCCAGAGCCCAGCAAGCGAGGCTGCGGTGGCCGGGAGCGGCCACTGCACTCCAGTCTGGGCAACTGAGTGAGACTCCAACTCAAAAAAAAAAAGAAAAAATTGTCTTCATGAAACTGGTCCCTGTTATCAAAAAGGTTGGTGACGGCCACATCTATATTCGCCAGAAGTTAAAATACAAACTTAGAAAATGCACTCAGCTTCCCTGCAAGGACAGTTCTACTATTGCCACTTCTCAGAAGGGAAACTGGTATACACATGTTCAGGAACTTCCTCATGCTCACATAGCTAGCAAGTGGGTCAGGGCTGGATGCAGCCTGGCTCTGTCTCTCTCCGGTTCTGGCTCTTTCTGCCAAATTCTTCCCTTCCCCTTCAGCCTCCCTGAAGACTCTGTCACTCTCTATCTGCAAAAACATTCTCCTTTGTCATAGGGAAGCTCCTGGCTTGTCAGGGTTTGCACACAGAGGAAGGACCTCTAGCCAAACCCCGGGGCTCAGAGCATGCCTGTGCAGCCTGGAAGAGACCAGGTCTCACCCGATGGCTCAGTAAAACATGGGGCAGCAAACCCACAAAAGAAAGTCGGGGCCAGGCTCTAAATATTACTCCCCTGAAAACAGAAAGTCCAAAGTTCTCCACCTGCTACCTGAGCCCCACCTCACTTAACCCCAACCTACCTCACCTCCTTCCCTGCTGCAGGGGACCAGGCGAATGACACCCAGGAGTGTTGTATGCAATCTTACCAGGATAAAGCACCCAGAAAATCTCTAAAGATCCAGGGGGCTGGGCGTGGTGGCTCTCACCTGTAAATCCAGCACTTTGGGAAGCGGAGGCAAGAGGATTGCCTGAGCCCATAGGTTCGAGACCACCCTGGGCAATTTGGTGAGACCTCGTCTCTACAATAAATCAAAAAATTAGCCGAGCATGGTGGCACACACCTGTATTTCCAGCTACTTGAAAGGCTGAGGCAGAAAGATTACCTAAGCCCAGCAGGTCAAAGCTGTGGTGGCCAAGAGCCACTGCACTCCAGCCTGGGCGAGAGGTGAGACTCTCACTCAAAAAGAAAAAAAAAAAATAGAGAGAGACCCAGGGCTACCTGTGCCCAAAGGGCCACCCCAGGCTGGCCACAGGTTGCAACCCTCAGCTCATCCCTCTCCTCCCCGACCTCTTACATAACCCCAAGGCCACTCAGTCTAGATCAGAGCCAGAACCAACGAGAATAGCTGAGAAAGCAGATCCTTTGTGGGAAGTGGGAAAGGAAAAGAGATTCTAGGCTCAGGCACCTGTTGCACTTATGCCTCAAACTCCCATATCTGGACTAAAGGAGATATTGCTGCCATCAAACACGCTGACTACAGGTAACAGATGATTAGCCATGAGGTGAGGTTGTGGCTGTGCGCCCAGCACCCAGCTGGTACCACATACTCTCCGCAGTCTGCTATGGTGATAATACTCAGTTTCTGATTGAGGGGGAGGGCCATTTATGCATCTCCCACTGTGCCTGACATGGGCCTCAACAGAGAAGATCAGCATCTGTGAGTTCAAGTCAGGGGGCGACCCCACCTCACAGGTAGAACACTTGGAATATCGGAGGGAAGGAGACAAAGAGAAGCAGGGAAGGAACATGCCCACCTAGAACACTTTAAGACAGAGTCCTTCAGTGTGGGATGGGGGGTGGGAGGAGCCACACATGTACTCAAATCAAGCTCCAACCATACCCTGGGACATCAGTACTTTGCCAGACAGTTATGCGGCTGGTGCAAAGCATTTCTGGAGATTGGGTGTGAATCTTGTCTGTGTTTTAGGTACTTAACATCAGTCCTATCTTGTGTCAATCTATAATTCCAGCTACATACACACTCCGGAAATGTTCTTTCATAGTGTCCTAGGCTGTGAAACCCAGGCTGGACAAGGCCTATGGTCTTTTCTTTTGACACCAAACAGGGAGAGCCCTGACTGCTGCCCAAAGGCGGCTCTGGGGCCTGGAGCAAACGACTTACCAGCTCATTCTCAGTTTCCTTATCTGTAAAATGGAAGGATAATTCTATCGATCCGTAGGAATGTTGTAAGGATTTTATGGGACACATGAGATGTAATATGCTGAGCAGAGCCCCTGGCACGAATATGGTGCTCAATAAAGGCAAATTGCTCTTCATTTTTGCTCCAGAACTAGGAAAGCATCACGGAGAAGGAAAAAGGATCAAGAAACCTCCAAGAGCAAGGAGGATCAGAAGCATCACCTCAAACCGGGATATGAAGTCCTTCAGGTTTGGAAACACGTCCAGGCATGTGGGCTCAAACAAGCAGATCCTCTCAAGGACATCATAAGCGATGAAATCCACAAAGGTGATCTGCAGAAAGTCAAAGGTAAGTGGGCCAGGCCCTCTGTAACACAGAAAGTATGACAATCCACTGTCCCCATCTTATTCTCTCTTTACCTTGTCCCCAACAAACCATGGCCGCTTCCCCAGGAACTGTGAGAAGAGTTTCATTGTTTCAGGGAGTGCCTCCAGGTACTCTGGCTTCAGTTTCTCCTGAGGCAGAAAACAGCTGTCACCATCTCATATAAGCTTCCTGCACAGAAGCAGGCCTTCCAGGGCTGTGCATGGCCCAGCTGGCCTCGGGACATGAGCCATCCTCCCCCCAACTGGAACTGAGTCAGTGACCAGGCTTCCATTTCAGACATCAGCATTTATTAGACTCCTACCTGGTATCAGGCCCTGTCTGAACTCATGGGAAAGCAGAGAGGAATATGAAGCTGTCCTGAATTGTCACTACTGATCTCCAAACACCCCTCCTATGGGTCAGACCCAGGAGCGCCTGAGCACCTGGAAGGCTCTGGACTCAACGTCAGCGGAATCAAAGTTGCAAAGAACTAAAAGAGCTCAGGGAAAGAAGTCGAAAGTTCTACCTAGTGGTGTGGCAGAGGAATGGAATGGACATTGGAGTCGTTTCCAGAATGATGAGAACTGCAGGTGGAAAGAGAGGAACAAAGGCCCTTTTGGAGACCTCGAGGGGACGATTAGAAACAGGCTTTGACCCTGTGCATGACACCAGAGCACTTGGAAAACAGAGCTGCAGAGGTCAGATATGGGGGAACCATTACATCCCTCTGTCTTGCACTTGCATTCCTCATGCTCCGAGTGTCTGTCTTCAGATGCAGGCACATGGCATGAACTACCTAGGGCAATGGCCCAAAACAGCTCAGGGCTCAGAAATGGAAGGCATTCTAGACGTATACATTACAGTCTAGAAAGCGAATTTCCACTCTGGGAAGTCTGGACTCTGTGATAAGATTGGTGGGAAGTGATTTACAGGTTTTATTTGACACTACTTTGGTTTTATTTGTCACTCAGGTGGCATCATAGGAAATAGTTTGGAGGATTACTAGCACTAAGGAGTTCAGATGGAAAGAGGACCAGTGTGGGTGAGAATGTCAGACTCCTGGCTCCTGACCCAAACCCTATCAGGAACTGGACTGGGGAGGGAAGGGGGTACTCACAAAGTCTGGATTGTAACAGAGTCTGGCCAGCTGCATGTGGGTGTCCATAAGCTGGTTCTCCAACATGTCCACACGAATCTTCTCCTCTTCTGTGTCCCCACCTGCAACCCACACAACAGAGACTCGCCCTCCGTCTCCCCCTCAGCCAAGCCCAGGGAAAGCCACGGTCCCTCCACACCGCAGCCAGTCCCACTCACACATGTTGTGTTTGCGGGCAATGTAGCGCAGGATGGCGTTGCTCTGGGTGATCTTGTGAGCCCCGTCGATTAAGTAGGGCAGCTGATAGGCAGGTGGCAATGTCAGTCAGGCCATCAGGCTCCCCAGTACTCCCGTCCCTTAGGCCAGGGCACCGGTAACACCTGGTACTCACTGTACCTGCCCGTGCTAGGCCCTCAGTAAGAATACTCAAAAGTAGTAGATAAAAGTAGTAGATAAATGGGTCATGGAATGTCATGGAAAGGCAATGTAGAGAACCAGGCATGAGAGCAGAAGGCAGAAGACACCTGACCCTCAACCTCTAGGCTGGGGACAGGACATGCAGTTAGAGACTCCTTGGCTTTCCCCAAAACCGCCCCCTCCCCTGCACCTACATTGGGAAAGTCCAGGCCCAGCTTGAATTTTTCATTCAGCCACTGGCTTGAATCATAGTCAGGAGCTGTGGTGGAGAAGAGGAGGTAAAAACAAACCACCCAGAGTCCCACCCTCCTTCCTGGCACCTTCCCAAGAAGTCAATGGCAAGACCTCTGAGACAGGTACATTTAGAACCTTTTCCACTGTCTCATGTTCCAAGGTTGGGGAGAAAGAAATTGTAAGGATGCAGGACCCTACATGACTAAAGGTTTAGGCTGGCCCTAATAGGGGAACCCATCCCAGTTACCCATACTGGGACCAATTCCTCCCAGCAACCTGCCTGCACCCTCCAAGGGGTTTAGGGATGGGGCTGGCTGCAGCCCAAGCGCAGCCCGTGAAGGCCTGCAGAGGTAGCAACAGGCGGCCACACAGGGGTTGCTTGGGACCAACTCAGCAGGAGAGGGCAGAGGTCAGGACAAGAGGTTGCCCTTACCATCCCCCATGGAGTACATCTTTTCCTCATAGCTTGAGTCTGTGTATTCCAGGAGCAGGCGGATGGCGTGGGCCAGCTGGGAGAGATGGCCAAGGCACAGGACAGAGTTCTGTGACTCTGGCCAGAGTTCTGGACAGAGTTCGTGACTCCCAGTTGACAGCCAGCACACAGCGTCCCCCACCCCCAACACATACACACACAGGCATGCACGGGCCCCTCGAGAGGGACAGACAGCTCCCCTGAAGGGAACAGCCCCGGAACATGAGTCTCTGCTGCTCAGCCCTATCCTACCCCTTAGTCCCCTGTCGTGTAGTGTCCGGAGCCCTTATACCCTCACTCACCCCGCGGATGTCCCAGTACCCCAGTGTCATCGGCATGGTGCTGTTGCTCCGGACGCAGCGGCCAGGACTCAGCGGGGCAAGCCTGTAACTCTATCCAGGCAGGGGAGGGGTGGGGAGGAGCTGTGGGCGGGTCCTGGTGAAAGTGCCCGCCTCCGGCTACCCTCTGCCGGTGGGTGGTGAACATCGTCTCTTCCTCGCCCCACCGGCAGGAACCGGTGAGATCCACCGCAGGCTTCCAGGCCGGAGGTTTCAGGGAGCGAGGTCTGGGCGCCCAGAACCCAAGGCAGGGCTCAGGGTCGTCTGCTTCCCCAGCCCCGCCCCCATCCAGACCCCACAGTGACTTGGCTGTGCCCCTGGGACACAGGCCAGATGCTAAAAGACCAAAGCACTTCTCCCTTACTCTCCCCTCCTGGTTTCGCTCAGCCTTCACCTCTCTCCTGCCGCGTCCCCGCGGGCTCTGGGAGGCTCTGGCTGGCGGGTCAGGACACAAGGTGGGGCTCCCAACCGGAGGGTGTCACTCAGCACCTATCACTGGAAGAGCAGGTTCCTCTGCCCGAAAATTCCTCGGAGGCGTTACAATCCCCATCGCCACGGGGGCATAGGAACAGTATCAGTGGGATGGGAGCGACCCCAGGGAAAGGGCCAGAGGAAAGATGTGGTCTCTGTGTTTCCTTTAGGGGCCCTTGGGGTCAGAGCCCTGTGGGCATCTTGCTAAGAATTCTGTGAATTTGCCAATTAATATTTTGATATCATATGAATCTAAATGCAAGAACCAGATCCCACAAGGAGGGCAGGGGTACCCGATGTGTCCCCCGAAAACAGTCTTGCCAGTCAGCTAGATGAGACTCACATTGGCCCAGACAGTGACCGTGAGTGCTGTGTGGAAGGTAGAAGAACGCGTCCTCAGAGGGACCAGGCCCCTGTCCTGCTGTGAGGGACCTTATAATACAAGAGACAATAAATATGAGATAATAAATAAGCAGATGACAGACCTTAAAAAAATCAATGAATTTACAAGGGCAAATTGGTGCACCGCAGAAGGGTAGCACCTCCTTTGGAAATTAGCTAGCACTTTCTTAGGATTGCAAGGAATGAACCCAATATATCAGAGAAGGTTTGAAACCACCAAGATGGAGGGTGGATCTGGGGGTGAGGAGGACAGGTAGACCTCATCACATCCCTGTTAGGTCACGGAGGTCAGGAAGTCTGCAGGTCTCTGTCAAGTTGGGGAGCTTGGAGGCAATGTCGCTGAGGGTGGCACATCTTCGAGTTTTTTTTACACTGAAAGCAGTGGGCAGGGAGAGATGTGAAAAGAAGCAAGTTCTAGATTTATATGTGCTCTCTGGTGACTGCAAAAAGTAGACAAGTTCTAATTTTTAAAAAAACTGTGCGGGATAATTAAAATATATTGGGTCACATTTTACCAAAGACCTATTATGTGAGCCCTGGACTGATTCCATAATGCAGTCCAGGATTTTTATGCACATTCTGACACTCTCAAGGCAAATTAAGAGCAATTCTACAGAAAATGGCCTTGAAAAAAATTATGAGAAAGAAATGCAAACTGAAATGTGTCCTACTTCTTGAAAATCTTTTCAAAGTCTCTTCAATACTATATAGGAAAACTTAAGAAATCCAAAGCATACAGAATATTTTTGTGAATCTGGAAATAAAAAATAAAATTGGAAACGAGACAAAAGATTTCAATGTGCCTATGATACTAAGGAAAAGGCAAAACAAACTAAACCTTATGACAGTAGAACAGGAAAAAAACTCAGGATAAAAATAAAGTGTAAACCAAGAAAGAATTCTGAGAACCAAAATATCACAACTTTAGTTAAAATGCTTGCTACACCAATAGTTGATTCTTTTTTAAAATTAGCTAACTGACAGAGCATTACTACACAGCAAACACAAAAATACAACTACAAGTTCATACAATTCAGAACTAAGGAAAAGACTTTAAAACCAACACAAGTGACTTCTAAAATTGGAGAAACATTTTTTTCCTGAGGTTCATGTTATTTAATGTTACAACAGAGGGGAGGGATACACCAAAATCTGCTAAAAGAAATAAAGATAAAAAATCAAGTTGACGACAGAAAAAAAAAAAAGAGATTCTAAGTGAAGTGATAATAACATAATAAAGAAAAATAACTTTTAAAGACTTTTCATGAAATTCTCTGGATTACTTTTCAAAAAGGAATGCATTAGTTAAATTGTCATAAAGCACAAAGTATGGCATGAGTGACCCACTGTGGAAAGGACAATACAGGCAAGGAAGAGAATAAATCACTGTCACTGTCATGGAAAAGTTAACATCCGGGTAGACTGGAGTTCTTTGTGCTCTTTCTGCAATTGTTCTGAAAGTCTGATATTATAGCAATATAAAAAGTTGTTTAAAATTTATCACATGATCCAGAACACATAAATACGTGTATTATTAACTGAATAAAAGCTTCATTAAACAAACAACGCTTAACTATGGGTGACATTTGGGATTTTTTTTAAAAAATGCTATCCTGTTTTTTTGTTTGGTTTTTTTTGTTTGAGTTGGAGTCTTACTCCGTCGCCCAGGCTGGAGTGCAGTGGCACCCTCACGGCCACCGCAGCATTGACCCACTAGGCTCCAGCGATCCTTCCTCCTCAGTCTTCCAAGTAGCACAATACCACGCCCAGCTAAATTATTATTATTATTATTATTATTATTATTATTATTATTTATCGTAGAGATGTGGTCTTGCCAAGTTGCCCGGGCTGGTCTCGAACCCTCAGGCTCAGGCAATCCACATGCCTTGGCCTCCCAAAGTGCTGGGATTACAGATGGAGCCACCAAGCCCAGCCTATAATTTTTTTTTTTAGAGTCAAGGTATCATTCTGTCACCAAACTGGAGTGCAATGCCTCAATCCTACCTCACTCCTGTAGTGTCTAACTCCTGGACTCAAGTGATCCTCTCTCCATGGCCTCCTGAGTAGCTGAGACTTCAGGTATAAAGATCCTACCCAGCTCTTTCCTATTTTATTTCTTCTTTTTTTTGAGTTGCCCAGGATGGAGCCAATGGCGCCCTCATGGCTATCCCAGCATCGACCGGCTGGGGTCAGGCAATCCTTCCACCTCAGCCTTCCAAGTAGCTGGAACTACAGGTGTGCACTACCACGCCCGGCTAATTTTTTGATTCATTATAGAAATGAGGTCTCACCAAGTTGTCCAGACTGTTCTTGAACCCACGGGCTCAAGCAACCCCTCACTTTGGCCTATTTCATTATTTTTTAATGCTACTCTCCCTTCACTATGCTAGTGACCTTCAAGTGTAGGCAATTTTGCTCCTCAGGGGACTTTGTCCAGAGACTTTGTCAACTGTCACAACTGGGAAGTGCTACTGACCTCCAGGAGGTAGAGACTGGCTATGCTGCTAAGCACCCTGCAATGCACAGGACAGCATCCCACCACAGAGAATATGCTGTCCCAAATGTCTACTAGTGCCAAGGTTAAGACATTCTCAAATTGACCAAGTCATGAGTAGACAGTGGGAAATAGACAGTTTTTCACAGAGAAATACACACACTGAGACATTTGTAGACACTGATTCATTAGGCAAAAACATGCACAATTTTTTACAAAGGTAAGGTAGAAAATATCAAGGTATTTTTATAAGCCTATAAAAGTATCATAAGATGAAACTATGACCCCACAAGTGCCTACAGTAGTGCAGAAAGGTTCACGTGTCTTGCTGGCAGCACCCTTATTAAATTATTCTCTCTGCTGAGCAATCAAATAATCTATTGCAACAGCATAATGCCACTCTTACCCTTTGCCTCGTAATATCTGCTTTGGGGATCTACCCAAACAAAATAATCAAAGCAGGGGAAACAATTAGTTTAAAGGTAATGTTCCTGCCATCAAAAAGATAAAAAGATTAGAACAATCTACATGCCCAATAGCTTAAGGATAACTAAGCAAACTATAATTTATCTACAAGAAATCATATTGTAGATATTAGATATCAACAATTAATATTAGAAGTGCATACATGTGAACTGCCAACAGGAACAAATATTTAGTGAAGTGTTACAGTGGAAAGACTGTGGAACCTAAAAGTGTGCAATGTCATCTACCCAAAAAAGTAGGCATGAATAAAAATCAAAAGAGAATTTGAAGTGCCACCACTAGTTAGAATATAATTTGCTTAATAATTATTCATCAAGCACCTATCATGTTCAGGGACTGTTCTAGTTGTTATGCAAACACCTGGAACACCAGTGAACAAGAAGACAGAAAAATACATGCCCTCGTGGCATGGACATCCTAGGGGAGAAAGCAGACAAAACTAACACACAAATAATTTATGACATCCTAAATGCATGGTTTTCACTGAAGTGGAACTTACAAGCAGTAGAGCCTACACACCTTAGGTGTCCACATCTCTGACTTCTTCCGCGTATATATTCTTATGTAATCACCATTCACATCAAGACAGGGAACATTTCCCACACTCTACCAGGTCCCATCAATGAGTTGCTCTCCATACCCAACCGGGGTGACCATTCAGCTGATCTCCAGCACCATGGAGTCATCAGTCTTGTTCTTGGATCGGTATGTACATGGAATGATTCATATGAGGCGTGATACTACCCTTTGCCTTGTAGTATCTGCTCTGGGCAACAACTCAAACAAAATGCTTTTTCTGTCGGGATTCTTTTGCTCAACATTATGTCTGTGAGGTTTACTCATGTCATTACAAGGGGCATTTGCACATTTATTCTCATTGTCATGTAGTATTCCGTTTTAAAAATAACGGAATTACATTAATAAATCACATTTTACTTGCCTAGTCGTCTGTTCATGGAATTTGGATTGCTTTCATTTGTTGTCTATTTAAAAATAAAGCTATTTTCAACATCGTTGTACATTATTCTTATAATACATCAGCACTTTTTCTTCCTGGGTGGGATTTCTGGGGTGTACGTCAATATATGTTTTGCTCTAGTTGGTACTATCAGTATGCCAGAGTGTTCTCACACCATCACTGTGTGAGAGAGTTCCAGGTACTCGATACATTCAACAGCAATTGTCATTCTTTTTTTTTTTTTGAGTTGGAGTCTCACTCTGTCGTCCAGACTGGAGTGCAGTGGCCGCTCCCGGCCACCGCAGCCTCGCCCTGCTGAGCTCCGGCGATCCTTCCGCCTCAGCCTTCCGAATAGCCGGAATTACAGGCCCGGCTGATTTTTTAATTTATTGTAGAGATGAGGTCTCACTGCCCAGGCGGGTCTCGAACCTGCGGTTTTAGGCAATCCACTCACCTCAGCCTCCCAAAGGCGCGGGATTACAGGCTGAGCCACTGAACCTGGCTCATTCTTTTTAATGTTAAGAATTCTGGTGGATACATAGTAGTTTCTCCTGGTGTATATTAGTTCTCTGCTATCCAATGATGTTGAACATCTTTTCATGTGCTATTTGACCATTTGTATATTCACTTTTGGTAAATGGCTGTTCAAGTTTGGACCCATTTTTTAATGGGTTATTTGTTCAGGTAATAGACATCTGTTGATTTGCAGTAATTTCTCCCAGCTGAGCCTTGCCTGAATACCTGAACCACAAAGTCAACTATTTCTGGTAACACAGTTTGAGGACTCCTGAGCTACAAAAATTTTCCTCTGAAGAAGCAATTTAAAATTATGGAGGAGGATTCAATGCAAATGAAGAAATGGGGATTGCTAAATCAGGATGGAGGAAGCCTATGCTAGAATGTTCTGGAAGGGTGTAAATTAAAAACAGACCTGGGCTGGGCTCGGTGGCTTAAGCCTGTAATCTCAGCACTTTGGGAGGCCGAGGTGAGGGGATTGCCTGAGCCCACGAGTTCGAGAACAGCCTGGGCAACTTGGCAAGACCACATCTCTACAATAAATTAAAAAATTAGCCAGGCATGGTAGCACACACCTGTAGCTCTGGCTACTTAAAAGGCTGAGGCAGAAGGATCACCTGAGTCCAGCAGGTCAAAGCTAGGATGGCCGTGAGTGTGCCACTGCACTCCAGCCTGGGTGGTGGAGTGAGACTCCAAATCAAAAAAAAAAAAGAAACAGACGTGACTCTAAACCCTCTCATGGGTTTTGGACTTCGAGACCTCAGAATGACAAAGACAAAAAAAAAAAAAAATCAGCCAGGCTCGGTGGCTCAGCCTATAATCCCGCGCTTTGGGAGGCTGAGGTGAGTGGATTGCCTGAGCCCG